ATTTTTACTCTCTTGGGTCACAAATATGTACTGATTCCCACTGACACATGGCAACTAATGTAGCTATTTTTGAATATAGTTTTTTTCTTGCCTCTACAAGGAAATTATAACACTTAGAATTTCTAAATACCTGCTATGATTGACATATATTTTGTCCCCTTTGAAACTCATGGTGAAATTTAGACCCCGATGTAAAAATATGAAAAGGTGATGGGTCCTTTAAGAAGTGATTAAGTTGTTAAGAAAGGTCATGTCTTTCTGCGAGGACAGGTTAATTCTCATGGGACAGGAAGTTTGGCTTCCTTAGCTTTCCTTCCTCTGGGCTCATCATACATTTTGAAGGAGCACAGGGATTTCACAGCCACACAATCTGGAATTTCCTGTGAGCCAAACTCAGGAGCTAAATGAACCTCTTTCTTTTATAATAAATCATCCAGTCTCTGGCAATCTGTTATAGTCACAGAAGATGAATGAAGACATTATCAGCATTAGTCCTGCCCCATGTCCAAAGATTCAGTGTGTAAGTACTCCTGTTCTTCTGGTTTAAAACTACCAAAGTATAACAGCTAGCTGTAGTGATCTTGATTGAATAACTGGGTAGTCAAAAATTATGGTATATTCCTGTATGGATTGTGTAGCTGGGTTATGTAGCCATTTAACACAAGTCATTGATCTGACATTCAAAGTGGGATCCTATTGTCGCCTTTGTAAATGTCTTCCCATAAGGCAGAAAGCTAGCTCTTCATAGGGAACAGGGGGCCCCTTTCTCCAGGCTTTATAGCTCCAAGGCTCTGGAGAGCTCACATCTTTGAGGGAATTCACCAAGGTGTTTCAAGAACTGACAAATTAAATATCTGCTGTTCATAAGCCTCCTGAGAGAAGTTATTTTTATTGCAGCATACTAAATGGATGAGGACACCCATAAAACCAGACGATAACCTTTTTTTCCAAGCTACCAAAGGGACTCTCTGGGAATCACACTGAGCTTTTAATCAACCACCTTCACGTGTTCATGATCCCCTGGTACTTAGTTCAATCTCATTGTCCTTCCAAGCATTGTTGTCTCATGGTTTTCAAGCGCTTGATTGGACGTCTTGGCCAGGGTGTATCTCTTTACAAGAACATTCTCTTAAAGTTATTCTTGGAGGTTTAAGCAGTTGGGCAGCCATTTTTCACCAGTGGCCAACTATGACATGAATCCCATCCAACACGGCATCCTCACTGCCAGTCATTCGAATGATGAATGAATGATCTAGTCTCCCAAGTCCTGTGCTACATTTGCTCTCCTGGATCTCCCTGCTGCTGGTATCACTGTGTCAACTGGGTCTTCTCCAACCACACGCTAAATTGGAACCACATGTGAACGAAGTCTACTGATAGCTGTGGAAGGAGACTAGAAGAAGCAAGGCTGGACAGAAAGAGGGGTCGGACCTTGATGCCGAGCTGACAAGGTCTCCACCAGCCCCACAGGGAGCTCCAGAGCAATGGTCACCCATGAGTTACAGTGCTAAGTGTTCTTCATCTTGCTTAGTCACAGGCTGGGCCATTCTGAGAAGAGCAGGACATCGGCCTCAAAGTTCACCCCTTCCTGCACGAGGGTCTGAGCCACACCTTCCCAGGTCCACCGCATTGATCCACACCATTTGGGAGTGGAGACCAAGTAATCCTTCTTAAAGAAATACAGAAGTCATGGTGCAGGTTTGTTTTCCCAATCTAAAAATGGCCTGGTCTCTTCTGTGTGAGATGGGTCCCAGGGATTGTCCATATTTTGAGCAAGATTCTCAAATAGCCGGAAAGAGACAAGTTCAAGATACTGCATTTTCAATTTGAGTATATGTGCTGCCGAAGTGAGTACAAAGTACTGCATTTTCAGATCTAACGGCATTCCAAGGTCTGACTCTGTGTCATTAAAAGAAATAAATAAGACTTCAAAGAGGGAAGTACACATCCTTACTGGAACAACCCACCCAAGGGAAGGAAAACAATGAGCTACATCCTTGGGTAGCTCTTCCTCTTCTGGGAAGGAAGCATGAGATCCGTGGGCCTGGCAGGAGCGTGAGGTTGAGGATGATCCATCAACACTGGCTGCAGTGGGGCTGAAAATGTCGGTTGGCCTGGGGCTGCCTGGACTGCAGGAAGGCGGTAGGAGGAAGGGAGGCCCATGCAGCTTATGAGTACTTCTACTACTGTGTATCCTCTTCAGCTAGGAAGATGCCTGTTTCCACAGTGCCCTGGGAAACAGAGAGGAAGAAGAATCAGTTTACCCCTTAAACTTTGCATTCCTCTGATATCTAATGTTTACTATTCTTTCCCAGGGAGAGGCAGAGCTCTCTGGGTCCTGGGGCAGGTCTTTGAATATCTAATACACTGCTCATCCAGCAGAATCAGATTTAGAGCACAAAAAGGAATCTAAAATATAGCAGCTTGAAATATACAAATTAAAAAACCTGTATCATTAGTAAATAAATATAAACCATACAGGATAATAAAAAAAAATGGAACACAAATTCCACAGACAACACTGAACCAGCTCCTTCTTTCTAAAAATCAGCCTTTCGAATCTAAACTAACAGTAATCACATCCCAGAACAGATAAAATAAAGTTTCCCATAAAAAATTGCCTTGGAATTGAGTAGAACCATTGCTTTTTGTTATTATGATGACCTTTAAAAATGTTATTCATTTACTTACATATTCTGTTCTATTTTTCAATGCATTTAAAAATTATCTTAAGATTCTAATGAAATAGGATAAACGATAAGCTTGTTAGACCAACGTCACCTCCATTATAAGCTCAAATAATTTTTTTGAGAAAATATAGAGACATTTTTATGCGGTGTACAATATTTTAGTGTAAATTAGCATAATATTGTTGGATAAATAATCTTCATCTAATCCTCCTGAAATGTTTTTAAGATTTAAGAGAGCCATTTTGTGAAGAGAAGTGTGCATAGTTTGCTAAACACATTCATATAAAATCATCTATTCACCACAAAGAATGAGTTTTTCAATAAAAAACAATCTACCTCTTGCATTGAGTCTTCTTAGTCCCTCACTGTTTAGATATTGTTGGTCAGTATTGACTACCTGGTTAAGAAACGTGCTGAGCACGTATTTGGACTCCTGTCTGTGCAGATGAGAACAAGGAAGGTGGAGGACGGGAAGACCCCTCGGGACCACTGTCCTTCAAGAAGGTGCTGGTGAGAAGTCAGGCTTGTGTTCATCCGCTATCCTCCCTGCCGTCCGCGGGGATTCCGACGGTCTGTACTCCTCAAATGTGATCCAGTGAGTGAAGATCGACTAGAGACAGTGCTGGGCTCCAGCCAGAGGAGCGCGCGCAGGAGTCTGATAAGAATCTCTTTATTACAAAGGAGACTCTGATTTTTAATTTACAAAGCCTTGCTAACAGGGTGTAGTAAGAAAAGTTGTGATCTCACACAACGTCTAAGCTCTTTTTTTCTTTTTATGAAGTCTATTGGTACTTTTTAAGTATACAGCCAGTTATATTCGTCATTGGTATCTTGTACCTTTGCATGATATATCTTGGTTCTTATTTTTTCCCCATACCCCTGCCCTCCCTTCGCCCCTCCCCCTTCACCTATTTATAAAGACTTTGTTTCCAGTTTTTCCTTTTCTCATGTTTTTTCTTTTCCCTTCTTTCCTTCACCCTACCCTTCCCACTTCCCCTACACCTTGAGCCCTTTTCTTCTTATTTCACATTGTCAGTTATACAATTTGGATCTTATTTACACGTTTAGCTTTTCACACCAGAGAAACCACTTGGTATTAACACATGCGCCTCTTATTTATTTCACTTAAGAGTATGGTCTCAGTGTGCATCCATTTTCCTATGAATGACTCTAGTTTCTCTTTCTTCATGGCTGAGTAGTACTCCATTTTGAGGAAAAACCACATCTAACCTCTTTATTCCGGGGAAGGAACTGGGAACTGGAAGGGGACCGTGTGACGTGTATTCCTGAAGCTCTCTGTATTTCAGCAGTGATTTGTAGAAAGAATGAACACTAGATTTAGTAGACTGCTGCATCTTCATAAAACTGAAACTGCTCGATGCCTTTTTGCCATGCCGTTGTTCAGAACAACTTGGGGACGTCATCTCAGGGTGAGGCAGGTTGCTTTATACCACCTTTCTAACATTCGTCAAAATCAGTATGAACTCTCTCGAGAGATATTTTGCTTAGTAGCGGTAGAACGTTCAGGCTACTATACTAATTTGCCTGGTAGCTAAATAGCCTTTTGAATAAAGTTGATGATTTCTCAATTCTGCTCATCTAGTAAGATTTCCTGATATCTTCCCCATGAGTTTATCTTTAGCTTTCATCACCGTGAGGGGATTTCATGAAACCTTGTTTTGCGTGGTTTGTGTCTTTTTAGACTGCGTGTCTCCTTTCCAAATATAAAGTTGCTTTGTTATTTAGCATGCTTTTTAAAGCCAGACCCACATCATCTGCCCAAAATAAGATTCTGGCATTACCCTGTGGGAAATGCCTCTAGGAGTCTTAACCTACTTGATGACTGTAGCAGGCCTCCGGACTCAGTAACAATATCCCTGAGTCCCTTAGAGATTTCCACACTCCTTAGAGATTAAAGAAGCATCCCTTCCCACAGACACAGACAGACAACGCGGTTCGATTTCTGACACTGCCACTCTTCCAGGGCGTGACCTTGGCAGACTCGGAATCTCTGGGCCCCGCTGGCCCTTCAGAATCGGAGTACTGGTAGGTTGCTTGCTAGTCTCCTAGAGTAACTTGCTGATGGGACTCCCCTGTGGGAGGTGGGGGATACGAGCTGGAGACAGCAGATGCAGGGAAAAGAGCCAAGCAGGCCTGGCTTTGTCTTTCAACTTGAGCTGCTTGGTTCTGGGTTGACCTGAGGGGAGGGAATGTCAAAGCCCTCCGTGTTCTGCTGGCTTACAAAAGCCTTTCCCAGGGAGGAGGGCCCAGAGAGGCAGCTTTGCGGTTCTCATCCACAAAGTCTATTGACGCAGATCTCCCGTGTCTCCGGCGGTAAGCGTAGCTCATCTCCCCTGGTGTGGAAGCACGGATCTCTCATGCCTGTAAGTGGCTCTGCTTGGGGTTAGCAGCATGTCAGTGGTATTCACTGTGGTGCTGAAGTCACCCACAGAGGTCTCACTCGTATCTGCACAGAGATCCTATCTCATACTTCTGTGGCCTGATTTCTTTTCTAGATTAAATAGCTACCCGTAACAGTTAAAATCAGAAATCCAAGATCAAAAGTTCAAAAAGAGAAAAATAAGTAGCTTAGAAGCTCAAGGCGATCATCTTTATGATTCGACACAAATTTGGTTCTGTTCTCCCTCCATCTTCACTTCTGTTATCTCTGTTTTCCTTTATCTCTGTCTCTTTCTTCTGCTCTCTGTGTGTTTATGTAGTGGGACATTCAAACAGCAAATATGCCTGGGAAACTTTGCTACTGCACGCCTTGTGCAGGGAACACAGATGTGCAGGACGCACACTTCCTGCTCACTAAGAGGCCAGGGCATCACGGGAAAGCAGAGGAGAGACCGGTTCTTCTTGGTACTCTGAGTAGCTGTGATGTCACTGAGCTCAGGGAGTCAGGGGGAGGCAAATCCAGGTGAGGGCAGGTAAAGAAAGATACTTAGAAAAACATTGGCCTCAACAGGTCTATAGGGTGAGTATATTTGTGAGTCCAAAAGAATGATTTTTGACTAGAGATATAGGAACCACACATGTAGAAGACTAGGCTACCAAAAGACCCAGTAGGAATTGTTTTCAACGGGATGTCTCTTCTAAAATAATGCTAGATCTTGTTTTCCAGGTAGGTGTTATTTTTGGGGAGATGGGATATGTTCCAAGCAGCTATTTATTGTCCAAAGCTTAACACTATTGGTTGTGAAATGCACCACGTTTGAGTAAATAAAAAGCATTCATTAGTCATTAAACTCTAAAAAACGTTCTCTCTGGGATAATAAAGAGGATACCATAGCAATGTTCTTGGGAACAATTTTACCTAATTATTCCTTTCAGTCCCTGAAGAGTCCTAACAGTTGTGTTGTCAGCATTGAGTCAAGGAGCACAGGGCAGTAGAGAATATAAGAGCCCGCCTGAGGGAAACGGCTCCTTGGGGACTAGACCTGTCTTGGAGGGCTGTCTCTAGGATGATGCTTCTGGATTCCAGCTTTCAATAACTTCCTAAGACTCAAATATCTGTGTAAAGGCATCATGCATGGATTTTGCTGCCAGATCGGGTAAACACTGAGTCTCAATCTTGAGCTTTGGTTGTGCTGTACAGAGGTGGGGCCTGTGGCAGGTACTTGGGATTAGTGCCTTGGTAGACAAGAGCCTGGAGAGATCCATGCCACCCTGGGTGGTCACTAAAACAGCTGTGTCTGAGTCAGTCTTCACTAGGCAGGGAATCCACTGCACCTTAATCCCTTGATCTTGTACCTCCAGCCCTCAGAACCATGAGAAATAACGTATGTCGTTTCTAAAGCACCAGTGTCTATGGTGTGCTTTGCTATGACAGCCTGGATGACTTGGGACAGGGCCTCTTAGAAACACAGGCACGGAATGAGATGTCCTGAGCTGAAGTCTGCTTCCTGCTCTATGCAACTATGCAATATTAGCTAAGCAATATCCTCACACTTTGTGTGTTTCTTCATCTTGTATTTGGGGGTGATTTCACCTGTTTCATAGGTCTGTGAGGATATGTGCCGAAACAGGTGCACGGAAACCTGTGGCAGTGGTTTGTTATTATTGTTGTTAGATGTTCAGTTTTGTTACAGCTGAATTTTCTTCCTCAGAAACCTGCAAACTACTGGGGCAGACACTTGCCTGGAGGCAAAGAAGGAAGAGTGATGAAGACCCGGCTGTGTGGGGGCCCTGGGAAGGGACTCTTCAGGCTCCCTGCACCCATGTGAAGGGTGAGCTGGGCGGGAGCGGCCAGGCCCCAGGCCGGAGGTCACCTCAGGTGTCCCCAGGCGCACCACCGCCATCACTCAGGAGAGAGCCTGGGGAAACTGGGGCGGGCTTCCAAGAGGTGTTGCAATGTTATTACAGAGGACTCATCTGCTTAGTATTATGCTTCCCCTCATTTAACCCTCAGAGATTTTGGACTTGCCTGGTGTGAAATTTTTTTTTTCTGTTTAGAAAGCGTTCTGCTCATTGCTTTAGCAGACTGCACATGGGGAGAGGTTGTTTATCCTGCTAAATGAGTCATCGGTATCCTCTCCTGTACTCAGCCATGGAATGGCAGGCTTGGAAGCAATCTCAAGGCTCCTCCAGCTCGGCCTCTTCATTTTACCAGTGGGACAACAGAGTCCTCGAGAAGCCAGGGCTTTGCACACAGCCACCTTGTGACGGAGCCGCCCTAGAGGACCGGTCTCCTGATTTCAAGTCCTGAGCGTATCTCCCAAGGCAGCAGTTCCTATGAAACTTGGGAAGGATGGAGCGAACCCACCGAACCTCTCAGTGGCTTTGGAAATAATTCACCTTTAAGAAGGAAGGCACAGCACTTAGAATAGAAAATAGCTCATCATTCATTCTACATAAAAAGCATGTAGATGCTTACGCACAGCCACTGTGGTGGTCATGGGATATGGAAGAGAAGGGGGACATATTAAATGCAGTCCTGGTCCTTCTTGAGTGCGCTGTCAAGTATGTTCTGGAGTCCGCAACCATGCACTAGTTTTAAAATTGGTTTTTCAAAGCACTAGGATTCCATGAAGTTGACTCAAGCAAGGTCTGCTTAGTGGCTGAAAAGGGCATCAACCCGGGCTGTGCTTTCCTTCCTGTCCCCCACCAACTACAAAGTGGCCGTTGGTCTCTTTCTATCCTGGGACGTAGCAAGACTCCGTTTGAAGACAAGATCTTGTTAGTTAAGATACAAAGGGGCTTCATCAGGGGTTGTTCTCCCCTCCTTTTTCTTGCCTTCTCTCCATTCTGCTCATCACTGCTTGGCTCCCTGAGTAGTAATAAGCCTCTAGGTGTAGGCAGTCCCAGGCATATCACCTTCCAACAGAAAGCAAACTCCTCAGTTTGTGAATCCACAGCACTCCCCGAGAGGAAGGGCACTGGTTCTGCTGGGGTCCCTCACTTATTTCTGTAGAAATCCCAGGGGCCGGGGGTGCAGAGATCCTCTTACCAGTCACCAGTGTTCACATGCCAGCCCCAGGGGTGGGGGCAGGGTGCTGCGGTCACCCTCATGCCTGCCAAGGTTAGTGTGGAAGAGTGGTTTTCAAGAAGACCAGATGAAAATGTGCACACAGGTGGCTAAAATGGAAATCCTACTGTGAGCTTTCTTTCTCCTTAACTAGATGTGGACATATTCCCTGGTAACTGCTGTAGTTTGGACCTGGTTTGTGGGCTTCGAAACCTAAGTGGAAACTGAGTCCTTGCTATGAGGGATGGGACCAGTTCAGACACTGGGCTATGAACAGGGCTCTGCCCTCAGGGATGAGTGAATCCATATGTGTGACTAATTAATAGATTAATGAGTTACCCAAAGTGAGTGTCAGCAACAAGAGCCAGTTTGGTTTCATCTCTCCCATGTGCCTTGACCTACAATGTCCCCACAGTGACTTGAAGCAGAGAATCAGGAGCCCAAACAAGTCTCTTTTCTTTATAATTTGCCCAAGGTGGGATGTTAGGTTATAAGGACCAAGATGAGAATCAATGATCTTATTCCACCTGTGTTTTTTTGATATGGGTTTATTGCAAAGACAAGAATTCTAGACAGCTCAAAGTGAAGTGGGAAAGAAAAAACTCAAATGCCTGGTATCGAAGCAAAAGGCAAAAATGAAGTGATCACCCCAATGCTTCCAGATGCCCTAGCTGGGAAAAGGCATAAACAGCGAGAATAAAAATCTTAAGTTTGGATTTCTAGCACTCTGCACAAGGAAAGGGAGGAGGAGGGCATGATTCATATCGTCTAATGTTGGAAGCTAGTTGCCAAGGAGTATGTAATGCTCTTTTTTCTAACGCTTGAGGTCTGAGTTTGATTTTTCAGACACTTTTGTCTCTGAGATATTCATGTATATTTCAAAGCAGTAGATAAGCTTCCTACCAAGGTCTGCAAGCTCTTGGGCAGAAAGGGCTCCTTCATCAGCCTTTTGTAAAAAGAAAATTCATCCAGCACCTTTTCAAATTATCATTCAATTGTGGAGGCTGTGCTGTGCGGTTAAAAGATCCAGCGTGTGTAGGGGGAAATAAACATGCTGAGAAACAAATGGCTCAGTTCAGATGTGTAGACCCACAAGAAGGACTGCTGTACCATGCCCTCTTCAGAGGAATTATCTCCTGTCTGTCTCTAGATGAGGACCCTGAGGACTCATGGTAAGCAAGCTGAATTTAACTGAGAAATCCACTGCAAAGTTATTACCTTTAAACTTGGTGTGGGGGCACATGCCTGTGATCCCCACATGGGGAGGCTGAGGCAGGAAGATCATTGCAAGTTCAAGGCCAGCCTGGTTTACATAGTGAGTTCAAGACCAGGCTGAACTATATAGAGAAAGCCTGTCTCAAAAAAATAACAAATGAGCAAAAGTTGCCTCCAGAAAGCTTAGACTTGCAACAGTAGTAATGGCAAGAAATTTTTACTACATTTTCATTCTGTGAATAGAAAATGAAAATACAAAGTAATCCCTGTATTTTTGAGGTAGGAGAAAGCATGAAAATTCTATGAAAAGACAAAGAGAACCTGGTATACCTAAAATATCATGGTCCTGAGGGCTAAATGGCCTGAATTATGTTTCTGGCCCAGGCAGTATTTGTTATGTGGCCCTTTCAAAATCCCTTCTGTAATTGGCCTTTTACTTAAAATATCTGTTAAAAATACAAATCCTGGCTAAGTCATTACTCAGATTTCTTCTAGCTTTAAATATCCATATCTAGATTATTCTTTAATAACACATACTCTAGAAAATTATGCCTGTTTTAGTGATAAGTGACACTGCTGTTTTCCATAGGTAGCCTTTAGTCTTGATTGGTTATTGTTGTAATCAAGACCTGCAAGGGAATAGATTTAACAAGGGACACATAATTTACAGGATTGTTTTATAATAGTCACCTAAAAAGTCAAATGCAGAGGGGTGCAAGAGATCTGACCACAGGCTAGAGACCCAAAGAATTCAGCCAATGCCATGGCATTGTCCTGCACAAGTCCAGTGGAAGGCCTAGAGTCCAAGGCAATGTGCTCTGCAAGCCCAGTCAGTGGCCAAGAGCCCAGGGCAGTGACTCTCGAGAGTCGTCTGTATCAAGGATCTGTACCCAGAAGGCCAAAGGCTAGGGGTGGAAGCTAGAAAGTCTGTGCTGCTGGGGAGAAGGATCTGAGTCACCAGGCTGAGGGATTGCACTGGAGCCAGGAAGAGATGCTTCCTGAAGGTGAAGATCAGAGCTCCCCTGACGAGAACAGCGGCCACCCCTGGCGACATCGAGGACCCGAGCTCCTCCAGCGGGAACAGCCAAGTTCATATCAGGAAGACCAGCCACGGCCAGCTTCTCCTGGAAAATCGACAACAAACAACCTTCCCCTCCAGATCTGTTTGGATGCTGTTGGCAACAGTCCTTAGGCGTATTCTCCACTCCCAGTACCACGCTGACTCGGTGCAGGCAGGTGCTCCAAGTTGACCATTATTAGTTAACCCACTACAGCAATGAATTCTCATATTTCCAAAATTTTCCATTTTTCTTTAAAAGCTTACTTTTTATGGAGATGTATTTTGAGCATTTCTTACTGATAATACCACTAGCTTGTTCTTAGCATGAGGGTGCACACCTGTAATGCTAACACAGTGGGAGGCTGAGGCAGGAGAACCCCATGTTCCAGCCCATCCTGGGCAGCTTAGCAACTTAGTGACACCCAGTCTCAAAATAAAACTTTAGAAAGGGCTGGGGGTATAGCTCAGTGCAGAAAGTTTGCTCTTTAAGAATAACTATCTTCTTCAATAGCCAAGAATAGCAAAAGATTTTCTCAAAGTTCTTTTTCTGTCTAGCTTCTCCCTGTGACCTGCATTTGAGTTTCTTAATTCTGAAAGTGACCTCTTTCCATCCCTTGCCTTGGAGGAGGCAACATTAAGTCAGAGTCAACTTTCTTCCACAAAAGGCAAGAGTGCAGTTTGTTCTCCCACTGCAGACTGTGACACAGGTTGGCAATGAGCAGTGAAAGCTTCGTCTAACCTGCCTGAGATTCTTCCACTAGTCCTGTACATAACCAGCAAAGTATCTCAGAATTTCTAATACCAGCATGCAGTTTTGCAGTCTGCCGCTCCCTTCCTCATGTATTATTTCATGCAATCATCCCACATCCCACTGCAAGCAGGCAGCGTTTGTTGTGCATCCCAGATGCAGCAGTGGAACACCACACCATCTCACTGAAGGCCGAGATGGCTAGAGAGGAAAGGAGGGCACCAGCCTGAGGTCAGCACCAGCCGCTCCTCAGCAGGACCTCAGTGGGCACTGTGTAATTGTCGCACGACTCAGGAGCCTGCTGGTCAGCTGGGACCCCAAGCCCCAGTCCACCCAATTCAGAGGTGTGAATGCGTCCCCAGAAGACACAAATGCTCTTCATCCGTAACAGGCTGACATCCAAGTCAGTTTCAATAGCTCAGCAACATGGTCAAATATCAAAGGCCTGAATTTAGCAAAACCCAGAGTCCAAAACAAACACACTGCCACACAAACTCTCCCTTCTGTTCACGTCAAGGTGGCAGCACGAAGGCCAGACCTCACCCAGGAACACATCCAGGGGGACCTGAGAAGGGAGAGGTGAACTTTACCTTTGCAGTTTTTGGTGTGGTTTGAGATTTGATTTATAAAAAGTAGTTATTCACCCTGGTGGAGAAACATTTTTTGTGGACCCAAAAGCTGGAAACAGGAGAAAAGTCATAGATTTGAAATCCTTGCAGAAATAACACATGGAGAATTTACAGCTTGCGTTCATTATTTGAAAATATTGAAACATGTTCTTACCCAGGGTAACCCCGGAGCCATCTCCCTGCAGTTATGACTCACTTTGTCATCTTCTCTGACTTTTTGTTCCCAAGACAGTTATTTGGCATCTGTCACTGCTGGCTTTTGTGAGGTACCACGCAGACCTGAGCACACCCTCCTTCATCTACACCGCCTGCCTGAATGTTCCCCTGTCTGGAAAACTCCCCCTCTGTCATCCCTGTCCCAACGCAGCAAACTTCCAATGGTTCCCACCCTCTGATCATCATTAATTTACCCTTTATCTGTTCTGTTCTTTGAAAATTTTTTCTTTTTTTCTTCTTCCTCTTCTTCCTTTGTTTTTGCTGTAGCCCTGGGAATTGAACC